AACTCCCCCCCCCCCAGTTCCCAAGAGGAACTTTCCCCCCCAGCCCCAAGGGAACATTTTCCCCCCCGCCCAAAGAAAACCCTCTTTCCCAATCCCAAAAAAAGAACTTCCCCCCCAACCCCAAAGAAAACCCTCCCCCCCAAACCCAAAAAAAGACCCTTCCCCCCAGCCTCAAGAAGGAACCTGCCCCCCCAGACCTAAAAGAAGAACCTTCCCCCCCAGCCCCAAAGAAGAAAACTGCCCTCCCAGATCCAAAGAAAGAAGATCCTGCCCCCCCCAGACCCAAAGAAAGAACATGCCCCCTCAGCCCCAAAGAAAGTATCTGCCCCCCAGATCCAAAGAAAGAGCCTGGTCCCCCAGCCCCAAAGAAAGAGCCTGGTCCCCATGACCCAAAGAAAGAGCCTGTTCCCCAAGAACCAAAGAAAGAACCTGCCCCCCCAGACTCAAAGAAAGAACCTGCTCCCCCAGACTCAAAGAAAGAAGAATCTGCCCCCCCAGACCCAAAGAAAGAATCTGCCCCCCCAGACCCAAAGATGAAACCTGACCCCCCAGAACTAAAGAAAGAATCTGTCTCCCCAGACCCAAAGACAGAAACTGCTCCCCCAGACCCAAAGAAAGAAACTGCCCCCCCAGACCCAAAGAAAAAGCCTAGTCCCCAAGAACCAAAGAAAGAATCTGTCCCCCCAGATCCAAAGAAGAAACCTTCCCCCCCAGACCCAAAGAAAGAAGAACCTGCCCCCCCAGACCCAAAGAAAGAAGAACCTGCCCCCCCAGACCCAAAGAAAGAATCTGCCCCCCCAGAACCAAAGAAAGAATCTGCCCCCTCAGACCCAAAGAAAGAGCCTGGCCCCCCAGAACCAAAGAAAGAATCTGGCCCTATAGACCCAAAGAAAGACTCTGGCCCTATAGACCCAAAGAAAGACTCTGGCCCTATAGACCCAAAGAAAGACTCTGGCCCTATAGACCCAAAGAAAGAATCTGGCCCACTCACCATGAAGAAAGGTGCCAAAGCCCCTGCCCCAGAGAAAGGGAAAGGTGGCCTGGCCCAACCCTCAGCTAGCAGCCAGGGGCCTTAAGGGGAAGCGACTTGGGCAGTGTTGGGCAGGCAGGAGCCCTGCTCAAGCAAGACCAGCCTCTTAAGTCTAAATGTCAAAGAAGCCCAGCGGCGAGGGTCTATCATGATTCTCTGTGCTATCAAGGGTCCTGGAGACGGCCCATGGAGCGAAAAGAACGTCAATAGAGATCCAAGCAGCGTTCAGAGAGGTGCTCTCCGGCCTATTCTGTATTGCCCCAGCTGCCCTGCTGCCATCTCCAGGTGAATGCCCTGCCGGGGATCAGGGAGGGGACTCTGTCCCAGGGGTCGTGCTGAGCGCCTCTGTCCTGGGAATCATTGCCGTCACATTCAGAGCTGGATTGGGTAGGCCTGATGTTCAGCTACCTCTTGCATAAAGCAGGAATTTCATAGAAGCCTGGGATGTCGGTTGGAGAGGTCCTCAGAGACCGCTCAGGTGAACTCTAGGCACCTGAAGTTCAGAGTTCCCCCTATTCTGTGAACTTGGGTCTAGCCAAGGGTGGAGCCGAGATATCAGGAGGAAAGGAAAACCCCTCTTCTTAATATAATTATCAGTATAACACGGAAAGTTGACTCATAACAGATGGGTAGATCCTTCCTAACACTTTCATAACTTACTAATACTTTTCATAATAAAGCATCAGTCTTACGATGTAATCAATTACACTTACCTGAGTGCTAATCAGATTAACCAGGTCATTAATGATATGTTGTAAACCACAATAAATAATAACACCATATCAACTTAAATTTTATATTAACATCAATTGCATTGCCACTGTTTTTATGAATCAAAAGCTATGTTACCTCCCTAATTATATCCATATAATGATTGCTCATATCACTAATCCTATTAATGGTCAGTTATTATCTATTAGTGTGTTAATAGTCAAGGTAATGACCACAGTCATTTATGATAATATTAACATCCCTTGATTTTGCACAAAGTGACTTGGGATGCATCACCCCACGCACTTGGGGTGGGGGGCAGGGTTATATTCGCTCCAGAGAGCAGATGAGGCTTTGGAAGCCTGAAGACCGGCCGGAGGCCACGGCGGGGCTGTGGCTGCGGCTGTGAAGGGCATCACCTCTGTGTTCTCACCTTCTAGCCCGGAGAAGCCGCTGGCTGAGAAGCCCCCAAATGAGGCATTGGAGCTCATCTTTGAAGGGGTGCCCGTGACCCCCAGCCCCACAGATCCCGTGCCAGCCAAAGCAGCAGCAGGAGGGGAAAACATCCCGCGCGGCAGCCAGAAGGAAGCAGGAGAGAAGGCTTCAGGCCAGGCTGGCCCGGCTGAGGTGGAAGGGGACACCTCCAGGGGGATCGAGTTCCAGGCTGTGCCCCCGGAGAGATCGGAGGCGGGGCAGCCCCTCTGTCTCACAGCCAGGGAGGAGGACTGCTTCCAGATTTTGGGTAGGCCAGGGGCAGGGGTGGGCTTGGGGCTGCCTGGGGGCCCAAGGGAAAAGGGGATGGGGATCCCCAAGTCTCCCCACTTTAGAGGACTGAATTGCTCTGAGCCATGTCTCACCCAGGCTGATTCATCTAAGTGCCACACAACTCCAGGCAGCATGAGTTTCTAGACCAGCGGTTCTCAACCTGTGGGTCGCGACCCCTTTGGGGGTCGAACGGCCCTTCCACAGGGGTCGCCTAAGACCATCGGAAAACACATATATAATTACATATTGTTTTTGTGATTAATCACTATGCTTTAATTATGTTCAATTTGTAACAATGAAAATGCATCCTACATATCAGATATTTACATTACGATTCATAACAGTAGCAAAATTACAGTTATGAAGTAGCAACGAAAATAATTTTATGGTTGGGGGTCACCACCACATGAGGAACTGTATTAAAGGGTCGAGGCATTAGGAAGGTTGAGAACCACTGGTCTAGACCCTTCTGATAGGTGGGGAGCTGGAGGCTCAGCAAAAGGAAATGGAACGAGTCCCCCAAATCCACAGCGAGGACAGGACCTGCACCTCTCAGGGCGTCCTCACGTCAGAGCTCCGTTTGGCATTCTTTTCCTTTGGCTAACATGGGGCTTTGAAAAATGTCAGGCAGGCAATTGGAGCAACACCAGCTCCCTGGGCCGTGGAATTGGAAGTCAGTCTGTAGAAGGACTAAAACGCCAGACTTTGGTGCTTAAACTACTTGGTGGACGGGGTGGGGAGGGTTCACGCGCCGAGGAGCACAGGTGTCTGTGCGGAAGCTGTGGCCAAGGAGGCTGGCACGTGAGGTGGGGCAGGACCGTGGCGTGGCCTTAACTGGTGACCAGACAAGGAGCCCTGGCTCAGTCAGCGGGCAGCAGGGAGCCACTGAGCATGCGTGAGCTTGGCCGGTGGATTGAATAGGCTTGGGCCAGGGTACGGCTGGGCTGGGGGTGGGGGTGAGATGGGGTCAGGAGAGCCCAGAGTGTCCTGACACCCTCCCCCCCTGGGCCGAGGCGCCCTGGGAGACTCGCCAGCCTGCCTAGTGAGCGGCACAGTGCCACCCAGACAGGGTGGGAGGGCCTGGCGGCTGGGCGGCAGCCAGGAGCCCTGCCTCCTCCTGAATAGGGCAGAGACCTCCGCCCCGCCCCGAAATCACATCCTCAGGGTGACGGGACCTGAACCACCTCCAAGGGCCTTTGATTTATCACCAGCCCGGCTTCCCTGCCACCTCTTGCTATTTATAAAGAGCTTTCCATTCCCGATGATTCAGCCTGCCACCGCCAGGGCCCCTGCTCACCGTTGTTGTCACTAGGTGGCAGCCTCTCCCTAACAAACTCCCTCCCTGCCTCCACCCCCC